AGAAGAAAAACAAACACGGCTGGAACCTGGGATGGCAGCTGGAAGGCAATCGAGTTTTCTCTGAGCTCCGCCGGGCGGTTGTTATTATTAGGATTATTATTGTGATGCTAATACTCAGATTATTAATGATAATAAGGATAGTGGTAATTGCCCAACTTTCTCTTCACCTATTTAAAAAATGCTTGGTGGATCGCTTTAGAGAAATTATTTCTTTGAGGAAAAATTTTTCTCAGCAAAGTGGCACTGCTCTGGTCAAGGAGAGGAGAGCTAGCAGATTGCGGCAACCCTGCCGGGCTGGGGTGGGACAGCCGCTCTTGCTCCCTCCGCTACCCAAATCCTTTCTCCCTGAAACCCTGGCCTCCTCTTGCTCGCTTCTGTGTAGTCTTCCTCCAGTTTTCCCGCTCTGGTGAAAGCTGATTTTTAAAAAACATTCTAATTTCTCTAGGCTGTTTCTCTCACCCCCACTGGACTCAGGTTCCAGAAAACTTTCTTTGGAATCCCTGGAAGCCTGGGGTGGCTGGGGCCCTTGGAGGACTATTCAGGGCGAGGGTAGTATCTGAAAATTCAGAAGGGAGGAACTGTTTTTCTCTGTGATTCAAGAGTCCAAAAAGTGCCCGAGGCGGTTTACAGGGATTTAGAAATCCTCTCTAACGCAAAAACAAAGAGAACATTTTAAAAAGTGTCAACATTTTAATAAAATCCAGCTCATAACAACTAACCCTTGATTTTCCTATCACTATCTGTTCAAGGACATCCAGTTCGGCCCCAGGCGGCCTCAGGCCTCGCAGAAATAGAACAGCTGCCCCGGGAGCGCTTAGGCTGGGGTAGCGAAACCCTGGATAGGGCCCCAGAGGAGGTGAGGGCGCGGCTTTGGAGGGCCCCCGGGAAGGAGGTGCAAACGCGCTCCCGGATTCCGCGGCTTCGGGGCGGGCTTTCACCCGGGCCCGGCCTCGGGCTCAGGTGGAAGGGGAGCGCGGGGGACCCTGCCTCGCGCGGGGGGGGGGGGGCCGGTAACGACCAGGCTCAGCCGGGGTAATTACAACCCCACCGCAGCACCTGCCTATAGAACCACCAGTGACCCGTCAAAAAGAGTAGCATGGGAATTCGGAGGGCGACAAAGGCCGGCGGGGGAGGCGCTCGGGCTCAGTGGCCACCGCCTGGGCGCCCCCTCTCCTGCAGGGCGAGAGGGGAGGTTGTGCTGGGGGAGGGAGGGGCCGGGAGAGCTAAGTGAGGCCTCAGTGGGTCTAGTTCTCCAGCCCCTCGGGCTTGTCACTGCGCCGAAAAGAACTCACAGACCCCGGAAGCCGGGGTCGGGAGCTCTGTTGTACCTCATTCACTCTGGAAGCAGAGAACTTGGGTTTCTATATTTTGTAACCATTCTCCTCTGCAAACACACGCGCTCTGGCTGTGCTGGAGTCCTTGCTCGGAGCTCAGCAATACTGTCACCCCTGCAGTCCTCTTCTTGGCGGCAATATTGATGCCAAGATGACTGCACAGGAGGAGCAGTGGTGGCGTCTCTCTCCCTGCTTCCCATCCAGACGGGAAGCCACGGACATAGGTCTCTGGAAAACCTGATGGGGTTGGAGAGAAGGCCAGTGCCAGTGGGTGACCCTTCTAGGGCCCCGGACCTGAACTCGGCAGCCAAGGCAGAAGGGCGACTCTGCCTGGGGGGAGACCTCGGAGCCTCGGTCCCCGGGAAGATTAGAGACCAGGAATAGGGCTGAGGTGGAGCACAGGCAAGAGCGAAGTGAAAATTCCGAGCATAGCGGGTCTGCACCTCAGCCTCCCACACCCAGCCACGTTAAGGTGACTTCGGATCACGAGGCAAGCTGGTTGCAAAGCTCCTCTCATTTAGCAAGCAGAGCGAGCTCCGACGTGAGGCAAGCCAGAGGTTCCTAAGGCTGGAAAACCGTTCTTAACTTCTCTCGCCAGGGGGTCCCCTCTGGGCTTTTTGTGTGTCATAATTGCCTAAAGATATATGGCAGCTTGGATTACTGTAATTACCATCAGAGGCTGTTGAAAGAAGTTAGTCTGGGCTGGAGGGGTGACTGGCCAGGGTCTTGTTACCACCCAGGCGGGGCTACAAGAGACATCCCTCTGCCCTCCAGCCACACGAAGCCCAGAGAGGTGGGAGAGGAGAAGTTGCTGCCTGGCCCCATCCTGACCCTGGCCACTGTGCGCCGAACCCCTTGGTCACCCCAGGTCTGAGGGCCGCAGGTGTCGGCCGGCTGCCTCTCGGGTCAAAGTGCTCTGAGATACAGCAGCACTGCGGTTGGGGGCTGCCTTGTGGGCCTGAGCAACCTCAGCACCGGCATCCAGCCTGAGCTGGGCTCGAAGCTTCCTAGGCCGGGCACAGATTGGCAAATTGGGAAGCTCTAAAGTTTCCCTGCTGGGCCCAATCTGCACCCTCAACCAACCTCCTGCATCCTAGTGCACAGAGCGTGGGCGCAGCCCTAGGCGAGGTGGCCTTCATGCCTGGACCTTCTCCTGCTTCAGAGGTCTCACCTTCCCAGGCCCCAGGGTGATCCACACCCCCAAGAAGGAAAAAGATCCGGAGGGTCTTTCCTCCCCCAGAGGAGGCGGAGGCCCGTCGGCGGAGCGAGCTAGGAGGCCTGCCCAGGCCCGAGGGCTAGGTCTTGGCAGTGGATACTTGGAATGCAGCTGCAAAGACCCCGTTTTGAGCCTCTTGGGAAGGACCCTAACCCCAGAAACACCGGCGACAGAAAGCAAGTCCGCCTCACTTCCCCGAGATCAAACAGCTAAGGCTAGGGTAGGCCAGAGGCCAGCGGGAAACGCCAGTCCTACTCCAGGGTCGGCTGTGCATTGCCACCACGGTTAAGGGTCTTTCTCTCCTCTCTCTAGTTTAGCTCTAAACATTTCTCCTCTTTCTCTTTTTGTTCGCAGTCACTTTGCTCTAATTTTGAAATGCCAGCATCAAACCAAAACAAACGGACAAAATGAAAACACAACCTACTTCTTGTGGGGGTGGGAGGTGGGATTGGGAATCACATCCCTTTAGAGTAGGACTTCATTATCAGTCCTCAGAAGTCTCTCGGACTCTCCTAACTTTCAAAGACTCGGGACAATGAGGACGAGAGAGGGGGGGAGGGGGCGGGAAGGAACGCACAGAGCGCCAAAAATGCTATAGGCGAAAACAACGCAGGCGGCGAGACTGGGGACTGCGACAGTGGCCGCCCCACCCACGGACCGTGGAACCCGCCGCCGCCGACCCAGGTTAGGCGGGAACTGGGAAGCCCGGTGGAAATTCGAGCACCGCTCCCGCGCCTTCCCGAGGCCGGAGCAGGCCTGCGTATTCCCTGGTCCCACAGGGACTGTGCTCCCAAATGCCATCACAAGTTACACTCCAGTAGCTCCGCGTCCCGGGTAGGTTGAGGTCAGGTGCGCTCCGCGTTTTGTGGGAGAGCCAGAGGGTAAGAAAGTTGGAGGAAGGGAGCAGGCCGCGCATTCCTGCCTCTGCAGAGCTGTGACTGGAAAAGTCTTTGGGATTAGGGATTTGATTCTCTCTTTGCTAGAGTGGTTCGCCATACTTTAAATTCCCCAGTTATGACCTACGGGGATTTAGGATTAAGGAAAATGTGACTTTTAAATTGTTTCTGCTTCCTAGTTTGCAGGATTATTTGAAATAGCTAGAAACGGGGTGCAAAGCATTCCATTCAAAATCGGCTTTGCACAGAGTTGCTTTTGCGCGCTGGAGCTCAGAGTTTTGCTGCAGCCCGAAACTGCTGCCCAGTACCCACCCCCGTCGTACCCCTCCTATCCCCAGCACCTGGCGACTAAATGGAAACAACTTGCTGGACTAGTAGTTGCGCGCGTCGCAACCTTCCCATCACACCAGAGAGGAGGATCAAGCAATCCAGAAGCAACGAAATTGCTCTTTTCTCTCCACGAAATGCTCCAGCTCACGGTCTACAAGGGGCTGGGCCAAAGGGCACATGCCCATTGGGGTCCCTTTCTGGGGCTTGGAGCTCAGTGCTCCGGGCAGGACCTCCCAGGCCTCCCCGTCCGATCTCCCGCCCCAGGTAGCGCGCCTGGTCCCCACGGCAGCCCGAGAGGTACCCACTTGTTGATCCGGCCGGCTTGCTCATGCTGGCGGTCCCGGGACGAAGCGGCTGATGGGCACTGCCTGAGTCCCGGCCGGCAGCGCCCGCCTCACTGCCGGGCGCCGCAGCTCGCCAGCCACCCTCCAGCCTGTGAGGCTTCGGGGCTGAGCAGGTGGGTATCGCTCGCGCGCGGCGCTGTTCTCCAGGCACTCAAAATTCGTTCCACAGTGGAAATTTAAGCATCCTTAAGTTTATTCCCGGCTCTTGCAAAACTGCAGCTGCTGGGAATGCTGCTCGATATGGACAAAGACATGCACAGACAGATGGAGAGATGGACAGGCAGGCTAAAGAAGGGAGGACAGCACGAGGGACGAACTGAAGGACGGGGATGGAGACAGGAAAATGGCCTTCCTACGGTGCAAAAAAGGCAAAAGCTCTCTCTTTCCCCATTCCTGTCACTCAGTCTTCAATCTCTCCCTCTACACTGGCATGCAGAGTGTTGGCAAATCTCTACAGACCGCTGATTTTAAGAAAGATGAAGCACACAACCGCAGTCTCAGAGGCAGATGGGGTCCGCGCTGCCGGAACCTGAGAGTGGAGTAGGAAAACTAAATTGCTAGGAAATCTTCGGAGGAAAGAGGCGGCCAGGTCCGGGTTTCCAGGGAGAGCCGCGCACGCAGCGGCAAAGGGTCCCCGAAGTTCATTACTCCGTGACTTTGTGCCTGTCTCCGCGGGCTGGGTCCCCGGTAATATCTCCAGAAGCGCTCTGACAGGCAGCCGCTGGGAGGGGAATAGGGCGTCCCTGGCCCACTTAGCTTTTCCCCCAACTCCTGGCGGGGTCTGACGTCAGCCATGTGCGGGGAGGAGATGGGAAGAGGGAGGGGGTTAAATGCTAATGATATTAATGAACCTCCCAGCGGCTCCCAAAGAAAATGCAGGCGCTCTTGGAGCTGAGGAGTTAAGAGTGTGAATATGGGACTCTGCGTGCGTGATGGTGAGACGGTACTGCTCTGGTAATAAAAATGAATTATTATATTTCATGGCGAGGGACAAGGGGAGGGATGATTGGCTTTCTCAAAACGCTTTCCGCCTCTCTCCAGGAGTGCCAGGCAGATTCATGGAAGAAATTGGGTGGCTGTGTTTTGATTGTGCACGCCGGACATGAGCTTGTGAGTTAGTTCATTCTTGGTCCCGTGCTCCTTCTGTTGGGTAAAACTTGGATCTGAACCGAGGTGAGTAATTTATTCATTTTGCAACTATCTATGCAAAGTCAGAGCTGAGGACGCTGTATGTGGACTCGGGGCCTGGGACGGGGTCTTCAGGAGCCTCCGCTTCCTCCAGCCTGGGTGGATTTGGACACCAGCCTCGGGGAGGGCGGCTCCAGCTTCTTCCAAGCAAGCCTGCCCTCCCGGAGCTGCGCAAAGCGCCCCTAGCCTCTGTTAGAAGCTCTGGAGCGGCTCGGAGGCAGGGCTTTCCTTCCCGCCGCTCGTCCCCAGCGGGTGTCGTTGGATCGCCCTCTCCAGGGCCTGGATTTTGGAGAGCTCCCCCTCGTCCCGCCCCTCCCGATCGCCTTCCCGCAATTCCTGGCCCTGACGCGGCGCTGGGGGAGCGCACACCGAGGGGGCGGTGATCCCCGATCTCTAAGAGATTAATTCTGTTTAAGCTCTCTGGGTATCTTGAACTTGTCGAACAAGAGCTCGCCAGCCTCTCTGGGCGTGGACCCGGCCGGAGGTCAGGGTCAGCCTTCCTCCCTCCTCACGGTGTTCAAGGGGAGGGGAGCCCGGGCCAGCGCTCAGCAATTCTGCCCGCCCACCCCCGGCCCCTACGCTGTCTCCGGACTCAGCGCCAACTCTGTCTTCCGAACAGTTCGTGAGCGCAAGGGAGTCTCGCGTCCCCCTCCAGCCCTCGCAGGGCGCAGCAGGTCCCCCGCCGCGGTGTCCCCGGGGGCGCGGGCGGTGCTGCGCGGTGGGCGGCCGAAGCACGTGACCTACCGCAACTTTCCGCAGCGGTCCCGGCTGGGCGCGGAGCCTCGGGCCGCGCGCCACGCGCCCCCGAGGCTGCGTGCTCCTCAGGCCAGCTCGGCCACCAGGGCACGGAGCTGGGGCTCCTGGGGAAGCCGAGAGGCTGCATTACCATTTCCCAAATTTCCCTCCCCCCTCAGTGTTTGGAATTTATGGCACTGCGGGGGAAGGCCATAAACCTGAGGGGTTTTTTTGTAGGGGGCAAGGCTAGAAGCCAACATTTTTTTTTTCTTAATTTTTTGACAGTCAAGTTGGGCAGAAACGTGCTCTGCCTGCTTCATAGCACAAATTCGAACTCTGCGCCCAGAGAAGGAAGGGCTTTCCAGTCAGGGTTTGAGAAACAAATTAAGATTCCAGTCTCCGTTTTGGATCCTCGGGTTTTGGCTCCGGCCAGAAATCCACTTGCTTCTGCCATCGACGCCGCTGCTGCCACGGTTCATGATGCGAGGCGAGGCAGAAGGGGGCGCTTGGTTAAGGACAAAGAACTTCAACTAATTTGTCTCGGGAAGAGATGAGGACAGTGGTGGGGACACTAGACCCGGGGTTGTCTCCAAGGAAAAGTTTAGGAGTGTGTGTCGAGGAGAGCTGGGAGCTGCTTTACAGGTAGAGGATCAAGGCTCTCTTGGTTTGCAAACTTCCCCTTTATCTCTAACACCTGCCACGCTGCTCCGTTTGTAGGCATCAAATCGTCTCAAAATCAAAATTGGAATGTTCTCTCTCCTGTCACCAGTCAAGAAGCCCAGTGAACACACACACACACACACACACACACTCTCACAGCAATCTAGCCCTGGCAAAAGGCACAAGGGGCGCACACAGCCGTAGCATATGCGTCCTGAGTTCTGAGCGCCCGGCTGTAATTATCCAGGCGCTTTGCATAATTCACAAAGCAGTTCTGAAATCATAGTGATGACTTTCTGGCATGGATTGGTTCGGTGGTAATGGCGGCAACAAGCTCTGGGATAGGTGGGAGGGGCGGGGGCCCCAAGGCCTGCCAGGCCCCAGAGAAGCCTGCAGCCTGAGTTCTCGCCCCTGTTCATGTCAAGCTGTTGAGGCCACAGGGTCCTCGGCTCTAAGCTGTGGAAACTTAGTGTTGGTGTCTTGGCGCTGCTCAAAGAAGACAGCCTCTGCCAGGCAAAGACTGTGACTTTACATCTTCCTATCCACCCGCCTCAGCACACTGTGCCGGGCTCATAGTGTCCTGTTAATTTGGGGGGAATGAAAGAAGTCACTGGTATTTTTCCTGAGGGCCCTCTTGACAGCCCTTTGGCGGCACAGCAATGCTAACCACTGGCAGCAAGGAGATGGAATCTGAGCTCTGTCTCAGCCACTGGGAGCTATGTAAATTGAGCATGTGATCAAACCTCTCTGGGCTCCAGATTTTTCTGATCAGCTCAGAAATACCTTTTAACAGACACAAGACCTTAAATGGTAAGAATAAGTTTTTAGCTTTGAGAGAGAAGTCACACGCCAGAGGGTCTGGTACCCTTCTGACCAGGTGCAGACCTAGCCCCTCACTCCTCTATCCTCTCTTGGGAGTCTGGAACTCTCAACTGCAACCAGAGCCTGAAACACAGGGAAGGTTGTCTTTTATGAAAGGATGTTACATTGTGGTCCAGGTGGTAAGAAATAAGAGCAGAAGTACTGTGGGGTCACGGGGTCTTTCTGTTCATCCCTCAACCCATTTCACTCATCAGACACTGCGCACCCACCGTGGGCCAGCTCCTGGGGTGATAGAAATTCAGGACATAGGCCGTTTCTCAAGGAACCTACAAGCGAGCAGACACATAAAGTGATCCATGTTTTAAGTTGGGGTGAAACATGTGCAATTGGGGAAAGCACATAAAATTCTAGGAGAATAAACAAAAGCTCCTAACCCTGTACAGTGGGAAAGGCTGCCAGGGGCGGCCTGGAATACTGCCCTCATGTGAGGGGAACCTGCTGCCTTTGAGAACTGGCTTCTATTATTGCTCACTCTTGCTAATGTCCCAGGTTAAAAAAGGAGGTAGAAGCAGAACACAGTGGTGCGTGCCTGTAATTCTAGCTACTTGGAAATTTGCAGCAGGAGGATCGCAAGTTTGAGCCTATCCTGGCCAACTTAAATTCTACCTCAAAATAAAAATTTTAAAAAAGACTGGGGATATATTACCATCACTATTATTATTATCATTGTTATTAGTTTTTAAAGTCAGGGTCTTGCTATGTAGTTGTAGGCTGTCTTTGCAATCCTCCTGTCTCAGCCTCCTGAGAGGATTACAGATGTGCACCACCACATATAGCTGGCTAGGACTGGGGATATAGCTCAGTGGCAGAGCACTTGCCACGCATGCACAAGGACCCAGGCTCAATTTTCAGTGCTGCAAAAGGGAGAGCAGAATCTTGTTAACTAGGTTGTATGAGAGAGGCAGGTGTAGAGAGCACTCATTTAAGCATCAGACCATCTGGGTTTGACCATCAGACCATCTGGGTTTGATTGTCAGCTTTGCTATATTCACTGGCTTCTCTAAAAATGGTGCTATTTTCCCATTTATGGCCTCTTCTACTACGTTGAAAAACCCAAGGAAAAGAAAGGCTTTCAGAACATCAGCAAGCAGTTCTGCTGAAGCTGGTGTGGAGCTGAGACTCCCTTCTCCATCAGTGATCAACCCCCCTCAAAGGCTTTTTGAGACTCATTTCTCAAAAATGCCCTTCATTTCAAGCAGCTAAGAGATACTCAGACCCAGGACATCATTAGGAAAATGTACCAACTGAACTTGGCTGAGATTTAATGCTCAGTCTTCAAAAGACACAAGGATTTGCTTGTTTATGAAGAAGAAAGTTGATTTTCATTAGCTTCCAAGCTGTAATTCAGCATAGTGATTCCGTTGCTTACTCAATGGATAATGAATAGGAGGTGGTCATGGACCAGTGTCTAGCATGTAGTAGGTGCTCAGTAAGGGCTTGCTAAGTAACAGAAGGAAAGTGTTGCTGCTCCTGATTTTGCTGTGGACTTCCTTACAAATTATTTGGCTCCCATCTAACTGAGAAGGAAACACTGAGAAAAATCCAGAAAAGAGATCCAGGTTCTCCAGGAGCCAGTGGGAGTTAAGTTTCAGGGCTTTTCCTTGACACGTTTCCAAACTGTGTGGCTAAGAGCAGCGTGTTACTTCCCTATAATGGGGAGAAGAGCTAGGCCAGCAGTAGCAGTAAGATAATGCTGTGTATGAAAGGTTCTCCCCCACCTTAACAAACAACACATCAAGGTCTGCATGTATTCAGCTCTCACCAGACCAAAGAACTTCAGCTGGGGTCACCCCAGCTGAGGCTTCTAGAGTCCCCTAACATCTCATATTCATCTTGGCCCAATGGTATTCAAACAGTTTTCTCGCCCACACACCTTTTCTTGGCCACAGTGATGTTTTATGAATGAACCCGCTTGGTGGTCGGCACACCAAAGCTAAAGCTGGAGGTGACTTTACTCAGTGGGCAATGGGATAGAAGGAAGCAGTGGCAGATCCTCTGGGTCCCCAATCTTGGGCAGCAGTGCAGGTCCCTTTGGCCTTCTAAACCCAAGACTGATTAGAGAAACAAGAGAGACTGCCTCCAGGGGAGACTTCTTCAGCCTCCTAATTTCCTCTGATTGTCACACCCTACTTGGTTTCCAGATAGCCCAGAATCACAGAGAACACAAATCAGAAAAGATCATAGTACTCATTAACTCAATCATTTTATAAATGAGGAAACTGAGGCCCTCTGAGACAAAGTTTGTCCTTGCTCACTCAACTAGAAATAGAGACCATCCCAGCACCCAGGCCTCTTGATGCTGAATCCAAATGCTTAGAAATACTCATTTCACTGCACTGAACTACCTCTCATTTCCTAGAAGAGCTTCTAGAAACTCCAATTAAGGCAATTTCACTCGTTAGTGAAGCAATCAGAATTAAGAGCGGTGTTTTGTGCATCTTGAAGCAATAGTTCAGTACTTCTGCAACTCCACCCTCCATTACTTCATAGCATTATCTTCAAATTCCCTCTCTGCCAGTACTTATAATTTGCCCTGTCCCAAGGTTAGAAAGACTGGGAAGTCTCTCTCTGTTTTGTAGAAGGGATGATGAGACCTACAAGAGAAATACTTAGAAACACTACATATTGATGTTGAGAAAAAGTCAATGGTTAGATCTAGCAATTAATCACTGAATTTGGTCAGTGTGGACTGAAGATCTGGGCCTCTTAGATACTAAAAACACCCCTGCCTCCTCGAGGCAGCAGGTTTCAGACCTGCTTTATACAGATTAGTGCTTCAACAATAGTAGAAACAATTGTTATGTAAAACTGGGTAGCCCAGTTTAAATGTGGCTAACGTGTTTGAGAACAGGCTACAATTCTTTATTATGTGAATAAATATATCAGGACCACATATTTGATCTTTGCCAATGCAGTGAAAAGCATCATACATTCGCCTATGCTTTGTTTCCAACGGATCTAGTTCACACAGCACTCTGTTGTCCTATTCTAGTAAGTAATTTCAGAATTCACATCACTTACAAAGATGCCAAGTGGCTATTTAGGGAAGTCTGTTTCAAAAAAAAAAAAAAAAACCTCTCCAAAACAAAACAAACCTCCCCCTCTCTTCTCCCTCCCCCAAACCCCACATGCTTTGTACAAGAAGGAGTCAACCAGTGGGATTCACAGGAGGTCCCCAAGTCAAATGCTGCAGCTGCGTTTTTAAAAAGGGTTGGATAAACTACAGCCGTTAATAACATCTGTATCTATGCAAGCTAAGATGATGATAGGGGTAATCAGATCTCATGCTTCAGGGCATAAGATGATTGCTTGCTGGGAGGAAAGGATTTGGCCTTTCAGGTATAGGAGTTTACAGCTCAGGAGCTAGGTTGCAGACATTTCTCCTCAATCTCTAAAATTGCAGGTGTAACAGACACGAATTCATTGTAACAGTGATTTGAAGTCTAACATTTCAGTCAGGCCAGGGCATTATATAGTGAGATATTTGAAATACCCACTTGCACCCTATACAATGTATGTTTCTCTCTCAAGATAGGATACACATATTTAGATGCCTTTATTTGAAGGTTAAGGTTCTTTGATATATTTTGACCATCCTTTAGTGTCAAATGGATGCTTAATAAATACTGAAAATAGTGCAGGCAATTCAATGTTAGTTCATAATTTGATAATTAACAGTAATTCACAATTACCCAAGTATTTATAATTGTGCACATTTGTATCCATAAATGTGTGTGTGTGTATATATATATATACAATTGCATTATTTTAGTAATGATTGCAATTGCATTGCATATCTGGGGTGCACAAGGCATATATTCATTCTAATGTCATGATCACTGAAGTAATTTTTTGTACCAAAGTAATTTTTAAAAATTTAATATTTCTCTAGAGGAATAAGACAGGAGTTGCACAAAATAACTTTACTGTCTCTTTTAATTTCTTTAATATTTTCAAACCCTAGGAGGGGAACGTTTTAATGTAGTTGCACAACTTGATCAATTTTGAAAGCACTTGTGCAAGTGTGGACAGGGTTATAGAGTTTTGTCTTCTTAGCTATGTAAACCCACACTGAGGTCATACAGAAACAGAAGGCTGTCAGCATTGCAAGAGAGATGGAATATCTTTTAAAATAGCTGATTTCTAGCAGAGCGGCTCAAGTCCTGACGGTATGAAACAGTCTTTCTATGGGCTTCATCACTATTACTAAATCATTCACTTCAGTTGCACACAGAAGAACTGTTCTAGAAAATATGGCTGGGAAATACAATTTAAAAAATGATGCACAGAAACAGTTTTTAAAGGAAGGAAAACCTTGCAGCTGTTTGGCTGTAGAGAGACATGGGAAATTAGTCAGAGGCCCAAAGCATCATAGTTAATAACCATTATTCTGTTGTCTGGGATGTTTGTTTAAATACTATTGACACTGTGTATGTATTGTCATCTTCTCTAAATTGTAGCTCTTAACCACTGAAATCTTGTTAAAGACCACCTAGGGTTTCCTCTGTATAATGCTGAAGTGTGTATTCACCTGATGGATAAACAAAAAAATGTGGGTTTTTTTTTTGTTATTGTTTCAATTTTTCTCTCATGTGCAATCTAGCAGAATATTTCTGGACTGAGGGAAGAGACTGCTTGATCACAGTAGAAATAGATACTGCAGAGTCCCAACCTTTGTATTTCTTGTCTAGTGATAGAAAATGAACAAACCCATCAACTGATTAATACAATTCAGTTCTGCTTAAAATTCACAGATCTGTTTGGTATGAGACTGTATTTTAAAAGACTCATACTTGCCATTAAGTGTGAAGAAATCAGTAACTATTCTTTTCATCAACTGCGTGTTGGGCCCCCCTCCCCATTTAGATTTTGCTTATTAAGTGAGGTCATTTGGGAGAAGGGTGGCTCTGGTGGGTGGGAAACCCTAACAGCCCGACTCCCCAGTCCCTGGGCCATTCAGGACAAAGCGTTTTCTATCTCGACTTAGGAGGAGACAATAGCCGGCTGTACTCCGGCACCACAAGTGAAGAGCAAGGTTGACATCTTTGTTAAGGTGGAGCGAGGGCAGGAGAGGGACAGCACGTGCACAAGCAGGAACTTGCTCCTCTGACCCACCTTCAGGGCTGGAGCACCAAGTCGCCGGCGCCAGGGCCCACCGGATTTGGGGAGAGAGAAAGGGAGCGAAGGCTGTCCACGCTGTTGAGCAGAGCTCTGGATTTACGGCTTGCAGTCGGGCGCCAAGCTGCCCCATTTCACAGATGCGTAAAACGGAGGTCGGGTCCGCGGCGCGCCTAGCTCACCAGGTGCGTGGGGTGCACGGCGCCCTGGGGGCGCTGGGGGCGCAGGGGGCGCAGGGGGCGCAGGGTCCTCGCCTCCGGCCCAACCTTCAGGCCGGTGGCTTTTTGCTTCCTTCCCGAAGGTCGCTCCTGACAAATCTATCTATTTGGGGCAAATTGTCAGTGAGAAACTTCCGCTCGAACTGCCCGGGACAAAACGGGCTGTTTGAAAAGGGTAAATCCCGCTGCCCGGCGAGGCGAACAATGCGCGCTGCGCTGCCGCGGGGGGGCGGCCGCGGGGCCGCACAAAGGGCGGATTAATTGGGGCCGCGCGGAGCGCTGCGCTTGGGCTCCACTCAGCCCTCGCCGCGGGGCGCCCCATTGACTGGGCCCCGAGCCCCACTTTTCACAAACTCCAAACAAAAGTCAATTTCTTTTTTATAAGGCGGGGGAGGGGGCCGTGGCCAAGCGTCTCCACTGGCTCCTTCCCCTCACTCTTGCTGCATGCGGTGGGGGGTGGGGGGGGGTGGGTCCGAGGCGCTGGCTAGACAGGGACCCCGCGGGAGCCCAAGAATTGGGAGGGACGCGACGTGGCTGCCCAGTCCCTGTCCACGGCCCATAACCCTTCTGAACGCCTGTCGCACTCTCCTGGCCCCACTGCTCTAGTGGCCACAGAGAAACTGGAATGGGGTGGTGACAATGACAAAGGTGAGGATTGGGGGCACCGGGCCGGGGGAGGCACAGGCAGGTGATTTAGGAGAAGGGGGGCCTCTCACTGATATTCCAGACCTCCGGAGACCTGACCATCAGGTCGGTACTGTATTGAGCAGCCACTGTGTTCCCCCTGGACCAGCAGATGAGGGAGGTGGGGGCCAGACACTGAATCACTGTCCCTCTTGAAATGTTGAGATCGGCTTGGGTTACTGGGGTAACACGGAGGAAATGTTACCCCTTTTCTCCAAGTAGACGCAATGGACTTGCAGGAGTGGCTGTGATTTAAAACAAACAAAAACTGTAGGATTGGTGTAAACACCCCATAGGGAGAACCCAGTCTCCTGTCTCCGCTCTCCGAATAGGAGAAAGTGCAGAGGGCTCTTCTGAACCGAAACCTTCCCCAGCCTCAGAAGCTCTTCCAGGGCGGCAGGGGTCGGCCCACGTGGGCAGTGAGGTCTGGTAGGAGGGAGTGTGCAGGAGGAGAGGGACTGTGTGCGTTGTAAGAGAGCCGCCTAACAGGTGGGTCCCAAGGTATTTATCCGAGGTGTTTATGGAGGAGAAGGGAGGACTTCTGCTCGGGCTTCTGCTCTATCATCTACAGATGGCAGAGTGGCTTTAGGAGAGCTTGGGAGTCCTTCGCTGTCAGTCTTTCACGTGGAGCTCCTCCAAAGACATCCTGTCAGCGAGTTGGCACCCTCTGGGTGGGCACAGTAAGAGGTGAGCCCTGATGCCAAGTTGTGAATCTGTGGTGGGCGCATAACGGGGTGAGGCAGACCTGCAGGAACAGGCTGGACAGAGCCAGAGGCCGAGACCTAGGCACTGACTGCCACGGACAGATCTGAGGCAGCAGCCGACCTCGGCTCCTTCTCAACCGTATTTTAAAGCTGTCAATTTAAAACGAACTTCTCTGGGCCAGACTGTGAACTCTTCCAGATTTCTGTTAAATCAGAGGCTGTGAAAATCAAGGATAAATATTTATCTAAAGATGTCACAACTTTGAATTTCAATAATAGTTTTTCTGCTAATCTCTGATGGAAATCTAGAACAGCTGTTGCTCTATTGTGTATTTTGAATTCCCAAAAGACAGATTTGGGAATCAACATTTTTCTTCCACCAATTTTCAGTATGTTTTCTTTTAGTTTATTGATGCCTTTGCAAGTTCAAATCAAATAAGTGAGGAGAATGTTAGCTTATTGTGAAAGTTATTGCCTGCCAAAAATTAATATAGTATTTCACCTTTACTGGCAAGTGGGACAATGGTGAGCGTGTCCATTCCAGCAAAAGTTGAGCAAGGGTGTAAAGACTGGAATGTTGCATTACTGGGAAGAAAAAAAAATGCAGGTGTGAGTCAGGTATGAGGAAACTTCCAAACTGAAGGAATGTGTAGGTTTAGACAGAATTGACAACAGTCTCTCTCTACTGACCACTGTATTAATAGAAAGTTTATGACTACAGCTTCTAAGAACTCCCACTACAACTGCTTACCATTTCTATTTTTCGGCTGAAGGGCTTCAGAGAAGGGACACTGGGTAAGTTTGAGGTCTGCACACTGAAGTGGGGAGTGACATACTGGTATCAGGCCTTTCCATCACTCTCTGATTAACTTTCAAGGGCTCGAATTCCTCTCTGTCTTCTAGAAAAGAAGAATTATTTTGGAGTCATTCAATGTGGATATCATTAGAGGAAAGAAACTCCTGCAGCTCTGATTATAATTAACTCCCCACCCCCTTATTCTTGTAAGCTGAGCAAACACTGCTAGAAAGGAAGGAAGAGGGTCTTGGCAACCTCAGGCTTAGGTTGCCAGACAAATCTGACTTCTGATAATCGCAGATCAGGGTCAAGTATGGCGCTAGGTCCAGAATTAGAATATGGAGTCCTAAGCTAGAAAAGAATACTCAACCCAGAGTGCCACCAGCCTGGAGCCAGGTAGAGAGCAGTTCTGAAATGGCTTTCCCTTGGAAAGGGAGAGCAGAGGAGCCACAGGCTGGGCTTCAGGATGTTAGCTAAGGTCCCAGTAGTAACATATATAGAATATTTGATTGTGAGATATACCACAGATGTAAAATACTGCCTGAGTGTATCCATGTAGTTAAAAGAATGAAATAAAACAAATGATCATATCCTAGCAGCTACATTTAAAAAATAGAATCTTTAGGGCCAGGGATTTAGCTCAGTGGTTTCACCGCCTACTGTACAAGTGCAAGGACCCGAGTTCCATCCCCGATGGAACTAATTAAATTTTATTTTATTTTATTCCATTCTCCCCTCAAGCTCCCTCCCCTCCCTATGTACAAAAGCTTTGTTTCCATTTTTCCTTCTATTTTCACTTTTTTTCTTGTCGCTTCCTTTCTCCCTCCCTCCTCCCTTGTTCCCCTTCACATCTGAACACTTTCTTCCCATTTCCCAACACCCATTATACAAAAAAATTTTATTTAAACATATACATTGTTTGGAGAAGTCAGCAGTATACTGCATAGCAATTTTTTTTTTTGTTATTGTTGTTGTTGTTTGCTTCCTGTTGTGTTTGTGGTGCTGGGGATCCAACCCAGGGCCTAGTGCATACTAAGCAAGTGCTGTACCAATGAGCTACATCCCCAGACCAAAAAAATTAGAATCTTGAGCTGGGGATGTAGCTTAGTGGTAGAATACTTGCCTAGTATGTTTTTTTAGTATAGCAAACGTATATCAGTACATTTTAGGCATACGTAATGATAACACTCATCATAGGGAATTTGTACCTGTACGTGGTACATCTCACCCCTTTTTTCCCATTCTCCCCCTCAAGCCTCCTCTCCTCCCTATGTACAAAAGCTTTGTTTCCAGTTTGTCCTTCTATTTTCACTTTTTTCCTATGCCTTCCTTCCTTTCTCCCTTCCTTCTCCTTTGTTCCTCTTCCCATTTGAACACTTTCTTCCCATTTCCCAGTATCTATTATATATTTCAGTCCTTATTTTCACTTTTAGTCTCTCATACCAGAGAAACAATTTGGTATTTAAACATGTGTGTTTGATTTATTTCACTTAAGAGTATGGTCTTGGGCTGCGGATTTAGTTCAGTGGCAGCGCCTGCCTCGAGAGCACAAGGTCCTGAGTTCAATTCCCGGTACAAAAAAAAAGAGTATGGTCTCAAAGTCCATCCATTTAGTGATAAATGTCTGATTGCCAAGTGTGTTTGAGACCCTAGGTTTGATCCTCAGCACTGCAGCAACTACAACAACAAAATAGAATCTTAGTATGCACAAGGAGACTCCTTTGTGTCCTTTTGAATGGCATCATCTCTCCCCATCAAAACACATCAGAGGTAATGCCACCCTGATCACTGAAACATTGAATTGTCATTTAAAACACTGAATTGTGTTTTACTTGCTTGCTTTCCTTATCATTTTATTATTTACATATGGACCCCTAAAATAGTGTAAAGTTTTACTTTTTATTTATTTATTTGGTACCAGGGATCAAACTCGGGTCCTTGCGCTTGCGAGGCAGGTGTCGGAACCACTGAGCTAAATTCCCAGCCCAAGTTTTATTTTTTAAAAACTTTGTAAAAAAGAAGCATTGTTTAGTCTTCAGTGATTTGGATATTTTCTTTCAGAGTGTTTTATGTTGTTATTAAATAACTATGATACATTCACACAAGGTAGTGTCTTCATTTCTCATTATTGTATAGTATTCCACTGTGGACACGTGATTAATCCTCAGTGCTAGTCTTTCTCCCACCCTACTTCATTCGTCCCTTCTTCCACCTCACCCTCTGTGTCACTTAGGAACAGTGCTTCCCTAAGCCTTGTTTTTTTTTTTTTTGGTACGGGGGATTGAACTCGGGTCTTTGCACTTGCGCAGCAGGCAGCGAAACCACTGAGCTAAATCCCCGGCCCTCTAAGCCTTTTGATATACATATGCAAGAGCTTTTCTAATATGTATACCCACAAGTAGAATTGCCTTTCTTGCTCAGTTTTTCCCCCCTACATCCTAGACAACACTTTGTTTTTCCCATTTTTAAATTCTCACCATCTTAGTGGGTGTGAAGTTGTATTTCCAACTAGTTTTTTCCTCAGTTTTTATCTTTTAATAGCACATGTTTGCAGGACATGATGATTACCTCTTAGAGGGCACTTGGTACATGGATGTAACACATCTCCATTCTTTTTTCATCCTCTCCCCTTCCCTTCCCTCCTCTCTCCATCTCTTCATCCCCTTCCCATTTGAAAAAGCTCTATCTCCCTACTTCCTATTATCTATCTTTTATTTTGCTCTTTATTTACATATTTGGGTTTCTCATATAAGAGAAACCACATGATATTTAAGCTCATGTGTCTGATTTATTTCACTTAATGTTGTGGTCTCAAGGTGCATCCATTTTCCTACAAATGATTCAGTTTATTCTTCTTTATGGCAGAGTAGTAGTCCATTGGGTATAAATACCACATTTTCTTTAGCCATTTATTTGTTGATGAACATATAGGCCACTTCCAAGATTTAGCTACTATGAGTCATGCTGCTATAAATATGGGTATGCATGTATCACTATAATATGGTGTCCTTAACTCTTTCTGGAAGATGCCTAAAAGGGGAATAGCTGGGTCAGATATATCAAACTGTTTACCTAAATGGTTGCCAACACTATCTTTCTTCTGTTCTGGGGACTGAACCCAGGGCCTCTGTCATGCTAACATCCTATCACTGAGCTACACCTTCAGCTCATCAACACTTAGTATTGATTTTGTGTGTGTGTGTGTGTGTGTGTGTGTGTGTGTGTGTGGTGCTGGAAATTGAACCCAGGGCCTTGCACATATTAGGCAAACATTCTATGACTGAGCCAAACCTCTAGCCCTATACTGACTTATTTTTAAATTTTTGTTATTCAGATCTACTTGTGGTTTTAATTTATATTTCTCTGATTGCTATGGGGGTTAAACATTCTCAGGTTATCTAGGGAGCCATTTGTATTTTCTTTTTTATGAAACACTTGTGACTTTCACTTATCTTCCCACTTATTGTTTTTCTTTTCCCTTTTGTTTCCTAGGAACTTCAAAAATATTTTGGGTACTAATTATTTGTGTCAATTATATGTATAGCAAATATCCTTCCTCCATTTAATGATCATCTTTTTAAAATTTTTATTTTTTTATTAGTACATGTTTGCAGTACATAATAATTCCATTCCTTGTGGGGAGTTGGTACATGTATATTCCACATCTTAATTCTTTTTTTCATAATGATTTTCTTTTCACTCTCCTTCAAATGTCTTTTGATAAATCACAAATATAACTTTAAGTGGTAGAATTTACTGACAGTTTCTTCAGTGAGTTGATATTTTTGCATCTTGTGTTAAAAACCCTCCCCTATTGTAAACTTGTAATGACATTCTCCTAAATTGTGTTCTATATTAGGGTAAACTTCTACATTTAAATCTTTAATCTGATTAGAATTGATTTTTGTGTATGGTATGAAGTTTGCCAATTTAATTTTTTAATTTTTAATTTTTATTTTTGGTACGGGGGTTGGAACTCAAGACCTTGTGCTTGTGAGGCAGGCGTGGCGCCCCTGAGCTAAATCCCTGGCCCCCAATTTAATTTTTTACAGCTGTTTAATAAAATGTCCTGGTGGGCCGGAGATTTAGCTCAGTGGTTTCACTGCCTGCTGCGCAAGCACAAGGACCAGAGTTCGATCCCTGGTACCAAAAAAAAAATAATGTCCTGGTAGCACTGAGTAGATCTTTACTCTGCTTACTTCTGGTGCCCTTTCTATTATAAAATCAAGTCTCTGCATATGCCCTCCTGTGTGTCCAGTTTCTCTGTCATCTTATAAACCCTTTCCTTGGCTGCTCCCCCAATTTCCCACCTTAGTCTTGCTTACACAGGGAGTCTTGGTACCTGGGAGATAGTTCTCTTTACTTATTATTCTTCTTAGAGACACTTGTCTATTTTCGTTGTTTTAAAAATTATCTTGAGAAGTTCCATGAAAACTATTGTTCGGATTCTCATTGGAATTAGATTTAATCAGTATGGATTCAATTTCTACCTTTATTCTGTTGAAGCTTTCTACTAACACTTGATGTTTCTCCATTTTCTTAAGTCTTTCCTTGATGTTTCTTCAAGAAGGCATAATTTTTTTATATGGTGCACATTTTTGTTAGACTTATAGCTAGAATTATTATATAGTTTTGCTCTCATAATGGCTTCTTTTAAAAAATTACCCTTGGAACTGGGTGTGGTGGCACATGCCTGTAGTCTCAGCATTCAGGAGACTGAGGCAGGGGGATTGCTACAAATTCGAGGCCAGCCTGGGCTACACAGTAAGCTCAAGGCCAGCCTGAATCACATAGCAAGACCTTGTCTCAAAAAAAAAGAATTTACCTTGGGAGTGGAGGTACTGGAGATCGAACCCAGGGAATGTAGCACTATTTCCCTAGCCATTTTTATTTTATTTTATTTTTAAATTTTGAGACAGGGTCTCACTAAGTTGCCCTGATATTCTCCAATTTGATATCTTCCTGCCTTGGCCTCCCAGGTAGCTGGGATTACAGCTGTGCACCCCCACACCCAGCCAAAAAATGACATTTTATTGTTTGTTGTTGTTGTAAGAAAATGTATACTGGTTGAAAAACTCTTATTAATTCTAGTGAGTCACCTGTAGTTTCAGTTGGATTTTCTATGTGGCCAATAATATCGTGTACAAATATGACCATTGTCTCTTTCTTTTTAATCTTTTTTTTTGGGTACTGGGGATTGAACTCAGGTCCTTGCACTTGCAAGGCAGGCGGCGGAACTACTGAGCTAAATCCCCAGCCCCATCTTTTTAATCTTTTAATCTTTAGTTTATTTTCTGTTTTTATCAAGCTCTACAGGCTGAAACTTGAAATATGACACTGAATAGTGCATTTTCTCTGACATTAAAGGGAAGCATATGATTTTGGGTGCAACTGACTGTAGCATTAGTAGATCTTTTTGGTGAATTAGGTAGCAATGCTTTGACCATAGTCTTTTTAAAGATTTTTTTTTTTGGTACCAGGGATCGAACTTGGGACCTTGTGCTTCCGAGGCAGGTGGCGGAACCACTGAGCTAAATTCCCAGCCCCATAGTCTTTTAAAATATATGCTAATACAGCCACACTATCTTTCTTCTATTAATATTTGTTTTTCTGTTTTCTGGCTTTTCAATATTTCTATGAATTTATGTTTTAAAAATCTCTTGTAAACTGGGCATGGTGCTACATGCCTGAGTCCTGGCTACTCAGGAGGGTGAGGCAGGAGGTTTGCAAGTTTAACCTCAGCCTTGGTAACATAGCCAGACCCTGACACAAGGGAAAACCAAAACAAACAAACAAAACAAAGTAAAACAAAAAACAACAACCAGGAATCTCTTGTAAATAGTCCTTCTGCTGCCTGCCTCTCAAGTGCAAGGACCTGAGTTTGATCCCTGGTACCAAAAAAAAAAATCCGGTTTGATTAGGACATGGTGGCACACACCTATAATCCCAGTACTCTAGGAGGCTGAGGTGGGAGAATCACAAGTTTGAGCTCAGCCTGAACAATTTGGCAGCTTAGTGAGGTCCTGTCTCAAAAAGTAAAAAAGGGCTGGAGATGGAGTTCAGAGTGAAGGCCCCGGGTTTAATCTCTAGTACCACAAAACAAAACAAAAACCAACCAACCAACCAAGAAACAAATAAAAAACAGTTTGAGATTCTTTGTTTTTCCAGACAGTGATCTCATTGTGTTCCCAGGCTAGGCTCAAACTCGTTGGCTCAAGTGATCCTCCTGGGTAAGTAGCTGAAACTATGGGATCTGCCACTGTGCTGGCATGCTTTCTCACTTAATGGGAGTTATTATTATGATTATTATTGTTATTTTCATTGCTGAGCTGGGAATTGAGCCCAGGGCCTTGTGTGAAGCCGGCAAGGGTTCTACTATTGGGTTCTCCATCCCTGCAGTCTTTAGTGTGTTTATATTATTGTGCATACTGATCTACTTGGATGCATTAGTATTGTGGTTTTGGTGCCTTATATTATATATTTTGTCCCTCGCATTTTTCTCTTTTGCTGTGATTGAGGATTTTTTCTCCAACCCTCACCTCAATCTAGCCTCTCCATTTTTGTTTGGAAGCATCTCTTTTTTTTTTTTTGTACCAGGGATTGAACTCGGGACCTTCCGCTTGCAAGGCAGGCAGCGGAACCACTGAGCTAAATCCCCAGTGGTGCATCTATTCTTATAGTTGTTATCTGATTTAATATTTTCAGTTAACAAAGTTGGTAGTTTTCCTCCTCCTGAACAATATGAAAATGTTAGGCCTCTTTTTGATGATGATGACTATGATGATGATGACTACTGCAGTACTGGGGACTGAATCCAGGGGCTATTACATGCTGGGCAAATGTTGTTCCACTGAGCCACACCCCAGGTCCCATTTTTATTTTATTTATTTATTTTGTGTTTGTTGTTGCAATACCTGAGATTGAACTCAGAGCTTCTGCGATGAGCTACATCCCCAGCCTTTAAAAAATTTTTTTATTTTGATACACCCTAAGTTGCCCAGGCTGGCCTCAAACTTGTGATTTTCCTGCCTCAGCCTCCTAGAGTGCTGGAATTACAGGTGTATGTCACCTTGCCCAACTTGAGAATATTATAAATCTGTATTGATCACCATCTTTTTCTAATTCCGGGATCTAGTTCTAGCTTAATTCTAAGCTCCCAAATTAGAAATTTTTATTCATAGAGCCAAGATTTATTAAGATTTACCTATATATTTACTTATATATTTGCTGATTATTTCTTCTCCATTTCAAACTTTCCATCTAGAAAGATTTCAACTCCCTCTTTCTGAAATACATCCTTTATAATTTTCTTTAGTGAAGGTAAAGTCTCTCAATTTTTTTTGCTAACTGATAATATGTATATTTTACTTTCTTACTTTTTTTTTTTTTTTTTTTTTGGTACCAGGGATTGAACTTGGGATCTTTCACTTGCAAGGCAGGCAATGGAACTGAGCTAAATCCCCCGCCCTTGCTTTTTTTTTGTTTTTTGAGACAAGGTCTCACTGTGTAGTTCAGGCTGGCCTTGAATTTGAGGCAATCCTCCTGCCTCAGCCTCTCTAGTGCTGGGATTACAGGCATGTGCTACCACACCCAGCATTATAGCCTCATTTTAAAAAGATTTACCGGGGGCTGGGGATTTAGCTCAGTGTTTCTGCCACCTGTCTCGAAGGCTCAAGGTCCCAAGTTCAGGGTGGGGGTGGGGAGATTTACTGGGGATATATTTCTTGAGTCATAGTTATTTTGTTTCAACATATTGATATGTTTTCACTGTCTTTTGTGTTGCCTTTTTTGGTTGTTGAAAATTTAATTTTTACTTTTAAGGTTGTACCTTCATACAACCTTTTGTCTATGTTTTTTGTCTATGTCTACTTTTAAGGTTTTTCCCTTTCCTTGGGAAGTCTGCTTCTCGTGTGCATATGGTACTGGGGACTGGACCCCTGGCCTTAAGGCTTGCTAAGCAAATGCTCTACCCCTGAGCTACATCCCCAGTCTTGCTAAGTTTCCCACAGGGACCTTGAACTTGTGATCCTGTTGCCTTTGCCTCCATTGTAGTTGGGGTTACAAGCACTAGCTCTGCAACTGGCCTCTGCATTTTTACAATCATAGTTATACATGAGGATTTCTTTTTATTTATCCTGCTTGGGATGCACTTGGCTTCTTGGAGCTGAGGATGGGTGTCTTCAACAGTTATGGACAATTCTGTTATTATCACTTTGGGAATTGCCCCTCTCTATTATTTCTATCATGAACTCTGACTAGGTATTATAATTATTAACATCTCTTTCCTACTTTCAATTTCTTTGTTTCCGGATTGTTTTCTAGAAAATATCTTTGAGCTTTTTGTTTCTGAACTGTGTTCTGGAAAATGTCTATCTATTTTCTTTTCTTTTGGTACCGGGGATTGAACTTGTGTCCTTGCGCTTGCGCAGCAGGCGGTGAAACCACTGAGCTAAATCCCCGGCCCTGTCTATCTATTTTCCAATTCACTAATTCTCTTGTCTGCCAGATCCAAATAACTGCTTCAGGCCCACCTTCCCATTTTAAAAATCAATCACTTACATTTTCATGCCCTGAAGTACTTGTTGGTTTTATTTCAGATCTCCTTAGATGTTCTTTATAGTCTCTTGGTCTTTGCTAAGGCCTCCAAATTATTTTATTTCATTAAGCACATAGCATTTGTTTTTGGCAAGTAATAATGTCAATATTTGATATCCTTGAGGAACTGCTCATGTTGTTTGCTGCTTGTTCCTTCCAGTTCACTTCATGGTACCATGTTTTCTCCTGGGTTGGGCAATGCTTTTCTTCTTCAAGCTGCTCTGGTCTCAGGACTTTATCTGGGCATCTTGGAGGCCAGGACTGGAGATGACTTCTGCAGGGGAGAGTTGCACTTGCTGTTTCTAGTCAGTCTCCTTCTTGTACCACCAACTGGGATCCTTTTATATGGAAATATTCTATTATCAGGGTTAAAAAAAATTGGGGGGAAAGGGAGACTGTATAGCTGGTAAGAATCCAGATAGAAAACCTACCTGAAGTGCAAGGTCCTGAGTTTGATCTCTGGTACCAAAAAGAAAAAGAAAAAAGAAACAAAAAGAAGCCCTATCTGAGACCTAGAATTTGTAGGGGAGATATTTCCCCCTTGTTTTCTAGCCCCAATGTGAAGACAGACAAATGCCTTTGTGGTAGCATCCCTTTTTGGGGCAGGATTTATTTATTTTTCTATATCTTTACTTTGGAGATGTAGCTCTTTGTGATTTCAGCCTTTTACAGTGATTCTCCTAACAAGTTCCCTGGCCTTGGGTGGTACCTGAGCATTATCTTGGAGTTGAAATTTAGGTTCTCTGGGGTCTGACAGAAACTGTCAGGGGGAAAGCTGGCTTTGGAACTTGTTAACTACCAGGTTCTTGGTTTTGTTTATTTTTCAGGGATCTGAAAATCTTTCCCCGTTGTGTCAGCTCTGTGTTGCATTTAAAATTTTTCTAAAAATATTTTTTGCAGTATTTTAGTTGTTTCAGCTGAGATTATCATTCAAGGTATCTGTATTAGTGAAGGTTCTCCAAAGAAACTATACACACACACATATATATATGTATATATAGTGTATTATATGTTATATATATTATACATAAAATATGAATGATAGGAGAGGGAGAGGAAGGGAGACCAAGACAGAGAAACAGAGACAAAGAGAAGACAAATTCAAGGTTTGTAAGGACATACCACAGCAGGCTGGAAATGTAATCAAGAGTTGATGTTGGTATTGCAGTCTTGAGTCTGGAGACAGAATCCCATTCTATTTGGGAGACCTCAGTCATTCCTCTTAAGGGCTTCAACTGAGGGTGTGAGAACTACCCCACAATGGAGGATAATCTGCTACACTCAGCATCTGCTTTAAATGTTAACCTGACCCAAAAAACACCTTCACAGCAACATCTAGACTGGTGTTTGACCAAAAAACTGGGTATCGTGACTTGGCCAAGTGACACATAAAATTAACCATTACAGTATTAATCTACCAAAGTGCTGGAAATAGAAGGCACAGCTATATAATTTCTTGTGACAAAATGAAAGCACAACCAAAGGGTAAAATATTGTCATGCTAGAGACATCAGAGAGAGGCTCAAGCAGACACTGAGCATCCTAGTATGAGGCGGACACACTTCTGTTTTCCTTCTCCTGCTCACAGTGCTCGCTATAGAGACCGTAGTTCGTGGACATGTGCTCTTCCCCACAGAATTACAGGAAGAAGAGGGTTTGTGCAATCACCTCGAGTTCTAGGCCACAGTGATACAAGGTGGTCTGGAAGGCTATGTTATTTCCTCAAGCATGTCTTGATCTGCAGTTTAAGATCCTATGGGGCTGGAGGTATAGTTCAGTGATAGGACACCAATCATGAGGCCCTGGTTTTGATCTCTAAGACTGTTAAAGACTATTCTGTAATTTTTTAGTGGTGGACATTGAACCCAGGGGCCCCTGCATGTTAGATAAGTGCTCTACCACTGAGGTACATCCCCAGCCCTCCAGGAAGTGTCATAAATTAAACATATGAAGAGAGCAGGCCATTGGCAAGTAACTTCTATGTGACAGGAGTCAGACTAATGATCATCCACATATTAGAATCTACAGGGTATTTTCAAGCAACTGAAAAGATTTTTCTTTAAGTTTGGTTAATGGGTTTACTAAGTTACAAATAGGAGTAAGAGGTTCTGGTGTGCTATATTGCACAGAAGGGTGACTACAGATAACAGTTAGGCACTGTATATTTCAAAAAGCTAGAAGAAAGGACCGTGAAATGATAAATGCTTGAAGAGACAAATATAATTAGCCCAATCTGAACATTCACAGTTTATACATGTGTGGAAATATCACATGGTACTTCATTAATATGTACAAGTTTTATGTTTTTATCAGTTAGGAATACATAATAAAAAAACCCAGGTGAGGTGGTGTATGCCTGAACTCTCAGCACTCTGGGAGGCTGAAGCAGGAAGATTGCAGTTTGAGCTCTCAGCTTGGGCAATTTGCTGTCTTAGAAAGACCCTCACTCAAAATTAAAAATACAGAAAAGGACTTGGGATGCAGCTCAGTGAGAAGGCCCTGGGTTCAATCTCCAGGATGGTGAAAATAAATAAATAAATAAAAATTTAAAAGTTGATGGAAAAATATTCATAATTTCTTAGATGTCTAGAAACAGATGGTGACAGAAATTTAAATTTCCAGACATTCACAAGCCAGCACATGCAGAGTATTGATATTGTCACTTTTCAGGTCTAGAAAAGATGTTTATTTTTTTCAAGGATTTGGGGCATGCCTCTCTGAAAAGGAGGAAAGAAAATCCTGTAACTTCCCTCTCCCTCTTTTCTATTTTTAATGGTAGCAAAATTTTACATTTATTAAAGGTAGGAAAAGAGGCTCTGCAGAGCGAGTTTGGCCCAGGTAAAAGTAGGAAAGAAAGCACTCCCTGCAGCATGAGGACAAGTAAGACAGCATAGCAGCTCCTTCTGCCTTTTTCTTGATTCCTATCATTTTCTTCCTTCTCTATCTTAAGAAATTGAACCACATCTCAGCATGAGATATTAATGCTTTAAAACAAACACTGAGAGCTGGATGTGGTGGCACGTACCTGTAATCCCAGCACTAGAGAGACTGAGACAAGGAAGGCTGCCACAAGTTCGAGGCCAGCTTGAACTACAAAGACAGACCCTGCCTCAAAAAATCAACCAACCAAACAACCAAAAAACCCAGAATAGTAAAAGTCTAAAAGAAGGAATTTCACAATATGTGCATACTTAAGGGGCTAGAAAAAATAGGGTTGTTTGAATGGTGGTGTTATAAATTATTTTCTTCTTTATACTCTTGTATTTTTAAAGAATTTCCCACAATAATCATAAAATAAATTTTAAAACTGAAATTATCTTTAAGTTTACAGATTATGAACCTAAAACATATTTTTATGAATCTAAAACATATTGAAGAATTTTTATTTTAAACACAAGTGGATTGTCCGTATGTATGCCATATAAAACTTTTTGGTTTTGTGGTGCTAGAGATTAACTGAATCCAGGGCCTCATGCATGCTAGGAAAGCATGCTCTACCACTGAGGTACATCCCCAGCCACAGGCTTGTTTTGTTTTGCTTTGCCTTTTGAAATAGGGTCTTGCTTTGTAGTGCAGGCTGGCCTTGAACTCACTATGTAGCCCAAACTGGCCTGGAACTCACTGTAATCCTCCTGCCTCAGCATCCTGAGTGCTGGGATTATAGGTGTGCACCAACACACCCAGCTTAGCCATAGGCTTTTATACTTTATGAAATCATATACAAATAAGGTATTTCATTTCTTTAAAAAGTTGTTTTCATGCTGGCAAAATTAAAACTCACCAAATGGTAACAAATTAAGATAATTTCATGAACTTTGGAAATTATTAATATTTCAGACTAATTTACTGAGAATTTACAAATTCTAGATTTTTGCTAAAGCAAAAATATTTTTCAAGCTCCTAATTTAAACTGGCATTTTTCTTGATATTATTAAGCAGACAGCTTAGAAAGCACCAATATCTGACATTTGTAACTTTCAAATCCCCATTGTCTATAAGTTGGTTATAGTCAGGGCTGTTAGAATTCCAAATTGGGAGGCAAGTTCATTCATAAAAGCTATGATTAATCATGGAAAGGCCAGAAAGACCAGTTTAGGAGAAAGGCTCAAGGTAGTTCCTTCTGGGGAGTAATTACACAGACAGAAGCTGAGTAAATCTATAAACACTGGATACTCAGATGTTTCTGGCAGAGGATAGCTACTGGGTGAGCTAGGGTGAAATTGGTATTTGTGGGAAGACCTCCTAGGACTTGACTGTTTTCTCTTGAAAAGAAAAACAGAATAATAAATGGTTAGGTTAAAAAAAAAGGTTCTCTCCTGGCATTCCATTGTTCTCTGGGGGGTTATTGGGATGGCGCTCAGTGACCTCTCTGATGTCACAAAGAGCAGTGGCGTCTGAATTAGCAGAGAAATTAACATGCAGAAGAGACTTCAAAGGCCTCTATACACATCCAGAAAATTCTTTAATGTGTCTGTATACAAAAACTGTATGTATGCAGAATTAAGCTTTACAGAATGTCTCTAGAGTGACATATGCTTCCATGTTTGGGCCACACTTCTTCCTGTTAGACTGAGTTCTATCTGGCAGAACAGTTAGTGTCAGGATCAAGACTTTCTCTCTTAGGTGGGAAACATTAAATGCATGACTGAAGACTGATGTGACAAAAGAGAAGAGGAGAGATGGGAGAAATAGAATGGTGGTACAAAACAGGAAGCAAGAGAAGCAAGAAAGGGAAAAGGAGGAAGGAAAAGAAAACAAGAAGTGAACGAGGGGATTGAATGGGGATGTGGGAAGTTCGTCTCCACAGGGCCCAGCTTTCTGTGGATACTAAATAGGCAGCCCAGCCCACAGACAAGGCGTGTGTGCGAGGTGTCAGCAGAGAAAACGCCCAACTTCCTTAGCTAGTAGGAGGTTTTCCCCACACTAGGGGATCCTCCTCTTTCTGATACTGAGTTCAGAGCAAAAGGAACTGGTATTTGGGATGATGTGCGAGGGTGAGTCTGCCAACCATTATTATTTCTGGCCAAGTTTGGTGATTTCTAACCCTGCAAGTGTCCAGGGCCAGAAGACTCTTATTTCTGTCCCACCCTCTTTTCTCTGTAATTTTGTCGAGTGCAGTGGGGGGAATGGCTATGGTGTGGAGACATAGATTAGAAAATGTAACCTCACCAGCAAATCATTTCCTGGCTTATTTCTTCTTCACTTTCCCATGACCATTGTCTTTTTTTCCCCACAAGAGCAATCAGGAAGACTAATTGAAGCATACTGATTAATGGAAACTCGTGACTTTGTAAAGAATCAAACCCTGCACTGAAATCTGGAAGAATGCACTTGAATATCTTGTACTTGTTTTCTCCTGTGCTCGTCCCTCTCCTAATACTTAGTGTCATGGCCAGGAGACAGGTTTTGTGGTGGCTGCTTATTGTTCACTGTTTGCCTATGTGTTATATGACAGAAGGGCTCCATGTGTTGTAGCTTGTCCTGGGCTTTCTTTTCAAAGTCTCGTTACCTACTCATATGAGGCTGGGTAACTCCCTCACCTACACTGTTCTCTGTGTGAGGTGGGAGGACCAAAGTGGGGCCTCCAGGAAGCTCCTTCCAACCCCAAATCAATTGTTGACTCAATTTGTGTCCTAACAGTAGGGGTTAAACTTCATGTGAAGGGAAAAGGACTGCACTCAACTAAGGTGCATTTCTACAAGTGGGATGGAAGAGGAGTAAGGGAGTAGTGGTGGGAGCAAGGAGGGAGACCACTTAAAAACCTGTAAGGAACACAGACTGAAAGCTGACCAGTTACCAAAAAGGCTCTTGGTATTTTAGAATAAATGGAGTAAATGAAAAAAAAAAAATCAACATTTAGAAAAATAATGTTCCAGACTAAATCACTTCTAGGAATTAAATCTATGATAGTTCATATATTTCACATATTTATAACTGATTGTTACGAAGTCTTGTGATTGCTAAATCTGAATTTCCAAATTTTCTACTTTAAAATCTGAGGGCTGTATTACTTTTTTCTTCAATTTTGTAATAAGAACAAGTATATAGGGCCGGGGATTTAGCTCAGTGGTTCCGGCACCTGCCTCGCAAGCACAGGTCCCGAGTTCGATCCCTGGTACAAAAAAAAGAACAAGTATATATATTTAAAATAATTACTTGAGAGCTGTTTATGCCAGGTGTAAGAAATTTCTGCTGGGCATGATGGTGCATCCTATCATCCAGGCATTCGGAAGGCTGAGTCAGGAGGACTGTGAGTTTGAGGCCAAGTCTGGACTACATGGTGAGACCCTGCTTTGAAAAACAAAAAATAAAAAATGAAACAAACAAAAAAGAAAATAAATTTCTATCTCTTATGATGAGTGGACATAAGGTCCCCCAAATACAACAATAATAACAAAATAAAGCAGCAATGTTCAAGGGATGGTACAAAGCTTTAGCTATATGTCACACACTTCATCCTCACAAGCAATGACTGTTTGCCCTAATTTTACAGATAAGTAAGCAGAGACCTGTTTTAGAGACCAGGCCCAGAAAGGCTCACTAAGACCCACCCATTCCCTGCTACTGTATGTGTAGAATGCCAGCACGAGAGATAGGTGTGGGCCCTGCTCTCATGAGAGACAGTTTGTGGAGGGATGGAATCTTCACTCACTTTTGCTGAAATGACTCCAAAAATGCAAATCTCATTAGAGGAAAAACAGTCTTTCTTTTAACAAATTGGTCATATTTATTTTTGAAGCTTGGCTCTTAGTTATACCTTAGTTTGGTGGTCTTTTAATTTAAAACAATTATCATTTTGAGAGGCATTTATTTTCTTAATGTTTCACGACCGCTTTGTTGAGACATAATTCAGGTACCAGAAAGTTCATGGTTTAAAAGAGTACACAGTTCAGTGGTTTTCAGGTTATTCAGAGTCATTTGTCCAACACCACTTTCAAATTGCAGAACATTCTCATCACTCTAAAATGGAAAGTTCATACCCATTCGCAATCACTTCCCATTTCATCCTCCTCCTAGTCCCTGGCAACTAAAATTTGTTTTCTGTCTCTAAGGATTTACCTGTTCTGAACATTGTATTTCAATGTGGTCATATACTATATAGCTTTTTGTCTGGCTCCTTTCACGTAGCATAATGTTTTCAAAGTTCATTCTGTGGTAGCACTTGTCAATATTTCATTTATTTTTATTGCCAAATCAATATTCCATTGTATGGATATTTTAAAAAATTTATTCATTAGTTGATAGAAATTTTGATTATTTCAACTTTTGGGCCACTATGAATAATGTTGATATGAACATTCATGTATAAGTTTTTGTGTAGATGTATGATTTGAGCTGTCTTGGGAATATTGCTGGTAACTATGTTTAACTTTTTGAGGAGGTGCCTTCCAAAGTGGCTATACCATTTTACATTCTCAACATAAAAACATGAGAGGTATAATTTCTGTACATCATCACCAACACTTGTTATTGTCCATCCTTTTTTTATATTATATGCATCCTTGGTTATAAAATAGTATTTCAATGTGGTTGCCACTGCATTTTCCTAATAACTAATGATATTGAGAAGGCATTTATTTTTATGATTTAATACTATCTTAGCCAGGCATGGTGCCACACACCTGCAATCCCAGCATTCTGGGAGACTGAGGCAGGAGAATCACAAGTTCAAACCCAGCCTGGACTACTCAGTGATTTAGCAGGACCCTATTTCAAAATTTAAAAATAAAAGAGTTGGAGATGTAGTTTAGTGTGAAGTCTCTGGGTTCAATCTGAGTACCACAAAACACAAATGAACAAACAAATAAATAAAAATAACACTGACCAGAGAAGCATAGTAAAATCACCTGATGAGCCTTTACAAATACTACCTGGGCTTCACATTTTTTTTTTTTTAACCTGCCCCAACTCACCCATTTATTTATTTATTTATTTACTTTTTTCCATTAAGTTTATTGGTACATTTTAGGTATAAAATACAGTTACATTCATCATTGGGATCTT